ACCACGATAGGCCTGCCGCTGTCATCGAAGTTGATTTGAGCCCCACCGAGAATTCGCTCCGAATTCGGTAAGAACGCCGCCAGGAAAGTCGCCGATCCAATCGTCTTGCCAGGATGCTCCTGGACGAACCTTCCGAGCCAGCTAAAGAAACGCTCTTTATCGCTCTGAATGATTTGTAAGAGGCCTGCTCGCTGCTCCGGCGAGACGCCACGCAGATCCTCTAGATATTTTCCCAGCGTGATTGCTTCTTCCCGACTCAACTGACGTCCCAGCGATGCAACACTGTCTGGCCAAACGCGGACCAATTCCATCCCAACGCCAGGATGTTTGATTTCAGCCTGAAGCACTTGAGCGCCAAACTCTTCGATCGCCTTGGCTAGCTGTTGACCGCGACTTCCACTCGCGAGTCGGGCAGCCGCTGCCGAAACCTCTTCCGAAGGTAATTCCTCGAGTGCCTGAACGATCTTAGTGGGGGCCGGAGCGTTGTCGAGCGCACGAATTACGTCGGGGCCATGTTTCGCCGCCAATTCCGACGCTTCAGTAACCGCCGACTCACCCCCGTCACGAGCTAGCTTGGCAGAAACTCTCTGCAGTAATTCCGGGCCAACCTCTTTGGCGAGTTTCTCGGATCCTTCTTTGACCGTTTCTTTCGAGAAGAACCGCATGAGTGTTTTAGAGATTGTCGATGCGGGCGACGCTAAAAGCCAAGGAGACGCGAGAAGCAGAACGAGAAGTACCACGCCCAAAATCACGAAGGGGCGAGTTCTCACGTTTTCACCCCCAGAATCGATTGCTTTAAAATTTCCAGATTGGCACGGTTGAGTTCGTCACATGTATTTTGCAGAACATGCTTCAGGCAAGGGGAGGCGTCTATCTCGAAATTCGTACGTCCCGGGACACCATGAATCGCGGCGACTTCGATTTGATCGATCAGTTCCAACAATTGCTTGCTCACATCGGACCTGGCGTATTCCCCCAACACTTGGTCAATGATCAGCCCCGCGATCAAACCAGCGACCACTCCAACACCGGTACCCAATGGACCGGCTGTTGATCCGAGGCCACTTCCTGCCGCAGCACTTCCGACGGTCGCTCCTCCTGCAGTCGTGCCAATTCGTACCAGCATGGTCATGAAGACTTGCTCCGCGGCATAACCGCCTGCGCCCGAGGCCACTTCAATCACAACCAAATCCAAAATTTCATCAACTGCGATTTCCGTGGAAAACTCGCGAACCTTCTCAGCGACCTGCTGCGAGAACTTCTGAGTGCCCAGGTTCTGTATCGCAGGCAAGGAAAGCCCCGCTGTCGCTGTTTTTACCTTCCTGAGCATGACATTGCGGTTGGCTTCGACGTCTTCGCGAAACAAGGCCAATGAAGCATCGATATCGCGTTGGATCTCCTGCGCCGAAAATACATATTGCTCCAGTTTGCCCGAGATGAATGCCTCGACTGAATTCGATCCGGTCATCCAATCGCCTGGCATCCGTCGCAGCACGCCCCACTTACTTCCCAGCCCAGTCACATCTTCCGCAAAAGGCTCTACCCCTTGTCGATAACGTTGAAACGACTCCTGGATTCGAGCGAGACAACGCTCTGATGCAGCACGATTCGCCAAATCCGCCTCTCGAACAGCAGGGGCAACTTGGTCGTCGAAAGACTCTTGTCGCATCTTTGCTTCCGATCGCTGAGACACCTCTGGTGAGGTCGACTGCGTCGATAGTTCGGGAGGACTTGGTCCCGACTTGAGCGTGAGATAGCTGATCGCCCCGAATAGACAAGCTACGCTAAGGACTCCTGCAATGAGCAGAGTCCGTCTTTCAGATTGTATTGATTTCATACATCCCCCTTCCAAAAACAAGGCAAATACTTCCATGCCACGAATCCCCTGAACCGTCCCAAGGGGTGGCGATGATCATTCACGCTGATCATCATCATCAGCTTTAAGAACTTGGTTTAGCTGGCGAGCTACCGACTTAGCGATCAGCTGAATGAACTGCGACATAGCGTTCGTGATTGATTCTGTGCTCTCGCCGTTGTCGGTCGACTTGTTCGAACTGTTCTCTGTCATGCGTCCTCCTGATCTGATATGCGCATAAGAAGGCCCACGGCGAAAATCACCGTGGGCTAGTGGGACATGCCGAATTATTAGGCAAGTAGGTTATTCCTGCTTGCCAGGATCGTAGGGTTCAAATTTAAATCGCGGATGCAAGTGCCGTCGCATACGATGAAGATCCATCGGAGCCTCGGTCACCGGAACGTATGGATCCTGCAAACCCAACGCGTCCATGGTTGCCTGCAATTTCACAGAATACTGTACCGCTGCCTGAGTGATCCCAAGTTCGGCAGCAATGTCGCGTTGTTTCATCCCTTCGTCGCGAAGCGCAATGACACGTTCTCGAAATGCTTCACGCTGAACGGGCTCGAACAAATCCACCTCAAGCGGCAGTGTCATGACTTCTCGCGTCAGGGTGAGATCATTCAATCCAGGAACCAACGAACAAAGATGCAGCTGAAACTTCGCGCGAATGACGATCGCCCCGCCATCGCAGAGTCGCATGGGATGAGCCTCGATACGTGGGATCAACTTGCGCATCACTCGGCTAAGTTCATACGGACACACCGAACCTTTGGCGATCGCCTCCTTAGCACGCTCACGTACCTCCTCGGAAGTCGAGAGCACCGGTGCCACCTGTGGACGCGACTCGAGTTCTTGCAGTTCGAACTTTGCTTGGTCTAACAGGATCTCGGTCTCGGTGATCTTACTGGCAACGAACTCGGAGCCCGTACCGTTAGTAATAAACTCGATCAAGCGATTCATTTCACCTGTAAGCTTTTCGATCCGCTTTTGGATCTGAATCCGCTCCGTCGCCCGCGAACTGGTCAGAGCTTGAAATTCTTCTTGCACTTGGCGGTAGAGCGTTTCGGAGAAATTCGGCAACTTGCCACATTCGTTGTAAACAGCAGCCATAATCTTCTTGGAAGCCAAAAGCCCATCGAAGGTCGCAGATTGCCAGCACTTGTAATCAATGGCCCCTTTGCAAACCATATGGTCGGTTTGACCATGACCGCCCCAACGGACCGGATGACCACATATACCACAGTACACTTGCTGACCAGGAAAACGCGTGCGTTTCTTGGGAACGTTGGCTCGAGAATCGCGGCCGTTCACCTTCTTGCGCCGAAACGGTGCGTTCTTTTCGTCAAGCGTGCGGATGAGACGATCGTAGCGATCGGCATCTAGGTAGGCGAGATGAGGAACCTCGCGAGTGAGAAGTTCCTCAGGCGAGGCTTTCACGGAGGTTCGCTTACCAGACTTGTTGTTCCGCTTCGCTTTCTTCCGATTCGCTTCCCGCAATCCCTTCAGTAGCGGATTGTGGATCAGATTAGAGAGCAGAGATACCGTCCACTTCTTGGATCGACTGAATTGACCTGTGGGAACCTGATTCTCATTCAGATAGTCCACAACGACGGAGTAGGATTCGCCCTTTTCAAGGCGAGACACAATTTCCATAACGATCGGCTCAGCATCAGGATCCTTCGTGACGTCGATGTCCAGTGCTTTGGGGAATGGCTTGAGATACCCAAAGGGCACCGTCTTGATCATCCCTTGTAGGAAACGGTTACGCAGACTACGACGGATGCGTTTGGAAGTATCTGAATTCGACAATTCATGGTGCATCGTCGCGAAGTTGGCTTTCAAACGCCAATCGTCGTTGACGGTGTCCAGGTTGTCGTTCAGCATAACGACCCGAGTGTCATGATCTTCGGCCAGTTCCAGGAAATCAATCGCGCGATTCCGGCGGCAGATTCGTCCCAAGTCCTCGGCGATTACCAGATCAAGCCGGCCAGACTCGATTGCCTCCTCAAGTTCATTGAGTTCTTTGCGATTGAGCAGTTCACCACTTCCCTGGCTTTGAATGACATCGATTTCGAACTTCTGATCAAGGTTTTCTTCACACCATTGGGTGCAAATCGCGATCTGATCTTCTAGGCTGCGTTTGTCCTGATGGGCCGTAGAAATGCGAGCCACAATCAGTACGAGAAAAACGAATCCGTTTTTCGCGGCCTGGGAAATAGAGTTGTGAGAAATCACAATAATTCAACTCCTGGGTACTCACCCATGAAGTCAAATCAACTTGTCCCACTGAGACAACATCCATGATCAATCGCGAGAACACCTGATCACGAGTGATCACACACGATCAATCGCAACCTATTTGGGCTTACAGACTTTTAATCACAAACCTTTGTAAATTCAGGGTTTACGACATCCCCTTCCCCGAATCCCGTTCTCTCCGCTTTTGAAATAAGGCTCGCCGTAAGGTCTTCAACTGGAAGGCTTTGCGGCGAGCCTTATTTTTTTGCAATCGCACGAATGACTTGCTCATATTT